GCGGGGTCCGGGGAGAGCGGATATAGTGAATGCGGGGTCCAGGGAGAGCGGATATAGTGAATACGGGGTCCGGGGAGAGCGGATATAGTGAATGCAGGGTCCGGGGAGAGCGGATATAGTGAATGCGGGGTCCGGGGAGAGCGGATATAGTGAATGCGGGGTCCGGGGAGACGCGGATATAGTGAATGCGGGGTCCGGGAGAGCGGATATAGTGAATGCGGGGTCCGGGGAGAGCGGATATAGTGAATGCGGGGTCCGGGGAGAGCGGATATAGTGAATGCGGGTCCAGGGAGAGCGGGTCGGGGTCCGGGGAGAGCGGATATAGTGAATGCGGGGTCCGGGGAGAGCGGATATAGTGAATGCGGGGTCCGGGGAGAGCGGATATAGTGAATGCGGGGTCCGGGGAATGTAGGAATCCGGGGTCCGGGGAGAGCGGATATATAGTGAATATAGTGGATATCGGGAGAGAACGCACCAAAAACACGTGAAAAAAAACACGTGAAAAACATGCATGCAGAAACGCGTCTGGAACACATCTGGATTGCGTTTCTATAATGTGAGGCGACTCTTAAGGTCTTATTGGATTTTATCTTCTTTTTTTCTTTCTTTTGTTACAATGTTTTCTTGCTGCTTTTTACTTTTTATAACTTTGAGCTTTCAGAATGATACTTTTCAGAACATCTGAAGGGAGCGGTGGCTGTGTGTGTGTGTGTGTGTGGGGGGGGGGTTGTTGTGTGTGTGTGGGGGGGGGGGGTTGTGTGTGTGGGGGGGGGGGGTACGGAAAGGGTTGCAATCAGTTAAAGGTTTCGTTTTGCACATTTCTTTTTCCTTTACAGATTCTTTACTGACTTATGTGAGATATCGGGCAGATATCACTTCATCTGTAGATAATTATAGGGCGTGGGGGGATGGGGGTGGGAGGAAGGGAGTGGGGGGAGGGGGGTGGGGGTGGTGTCATGCTTGGGGCAAAGTTTTTTTAACATTTTTTTTATTATGTTTAGAGGAGTGGAAGCTGTAGAAGCTCTTTTTGTCTGTGTTGTGTCCCTTCTTAGTGGCACACCCAGGGGTAGAGGCAGGGGCGGACTGACAACTCATGGGGCCCCCGGGCAATAGGGGATCATGGGGCCCCTGTGTCCTTGCCCAAACTCAAAAAAGCCTATGAAAAAGGTACCAGGGGCATCTCATGGGGCCCCCTACTGACCCCGGGCCCCAGGGCAGTGCCTGAGTTTCCAAATGGTCAGTCCGCCCCTGGGTAGAGGTATGCCAGCCTGGGGAGGGGGGGGGGGGGTGCAGAGGCACAGCCAGGTTCAATGATGAAAGCCTCCATTGACCTTTTTTTTGGTTCCCAGCATCCCTTCCCCCTCTCTGTCCCTTCCGTCCCTTCTCAGAGAGCTGGCCCGGGAAGTCTTCCGCTGCTCACGTTCTTTGCAGCTTTCTGCATTTGTCTGTATAGAAAGTGAGCAGCGAGAGAAACATCCTCTGGCAGCGATCTGATCAGCGTCTGTGCGGACACAAGATAGTTCTTAATGACATCGGTTGTATGTTTGGGGTTGTCCTGCTGTAGAATACATTTGGGGCCAATCACACGCCTCCCTGCTGGTATGACATGATGGAGAAGTATCTACCTGTATCTCTCCGTATTGATCCTGACCAAATCTCCATCGCCATTTGCAGAAATGCAGCCCCAAACTTGCAAGTAACCTTCACCATGCTTCACAGTTGGCTGCAGACATTCATTATTGTACCGCTATCCAGCCCTTCACCCAGCAAACTGCCTCCTGCTACAGCCTAATATTTCACATTTTGACTCATCAGTCTAGAGTGCCTGCTGCCATTTTTCTGCCCCCCCCCCCCCCAGTTCCTATGTTTTTCTGCGTAGTTGAGTCGCCTAGCATTCTTTCCATGCTGCAGGTTTGGCTTTTTGGCCGCAATTCTTCCATGAAGACCACTTCTGGCCAGACATCTCCGGACATTAGATGGCTGTATTCAGTGTCCTCCACCCCTCTCTGCCAATCCCTCCACTAGGCTCCACTAGCCTCCACTCAGTGTCCTCCACCCCTCTCTGCCAATCCACCACTGGCCTCCGCTCAGTGTCCTCCACCCCTCTCTGCCAATCCCACCACTGGCCTCCGCTCAGTGTCCTCCACCCCTCTCTGCCAATCCCACCACTGGCCTCCGCTCAGTGTCCTCCACTCCTCTCTGCCAATCCCTCCACTGGCCTCCACTCAGTGTCCTCCACCCCTCTCTGCCAATCCCTCCACTGGCCTCCACTCAGTGTCCTCCACCCCTCTCTGCCAATCCCTTCACTGGCCTCCACTCAGTGTCCTCCACCCCTCTCTGCCAGTCCCTTCAATGGCCCACTCAGTGTCCCCCACCCCTCTCTGCCAATCCCTCCACTGGCCTCCACTCAGTGTCCTCCACCCCTCTGCCAATCCCTCCACTGGCCTCCACTCAGTGTTCTCCACCCCTCTCTGCCAATCCCTCCACTGGCCTCCACTCAGTGTCCTCCACCCCTCTCTGCCAATCACTCCACTGGCCTCCACTCAGTGTCCTCCACCCCTCTCTGCCAATCCCCCACTGGCCTCCGCTCAGTGTCCTCCACCCCTCTCTGCCAATCCCACCACTGGCCTCCGCTCAGTGTCCTCCACTCCTCTCTGCCAATCCCTCCACTGGCCTCCACTCAGTGTCCTCCACCCCTCTCTGCCAATCCCTCCACTGGCCTCCACTCAGTGTCCTCCACCCCTCTCTGCCAATCCCTTCACTGGCCTCACTCAGTGTCCTCCACCCCTCTGCCAGTCCAATCCCCCCACTCAGTGTCCCCCACTGGCCAATCCCTCCACTCCTCCACTCAGTGTCCTCCACCCCCTCTGCCAATCCCTCCACTGGCCTCCACTCAGTGATCTCCACCCCTCTCTGCCAATCCCTCCACTGGCCTCCACTCAGTGTCCTCCACCCCTCTCTGCCAATCCCTCCACTGGCCTCCACTCAGTGTCCTCCACCCCTCTCTGCCAATCCCTCCACTGGCCTCCACTCAGTGTCCTCCATCCCTCTCTGCCAATCCCTCCACTGACCTTCTCTCAGTGTCCTCCACCCCTCTCTTCCAATCCCTCCACTGGCCTCCACTCAGTGTCCTCCACCCCTCTCTGCCAATCCCTCCACTGGCCTCCACTCAGTGTCCTCCACCCTCTCTGCCAATCCCTCCACTGGCCTCCACTCAGTGTCCTCCACCCCTCTCTGCCAATCCCTCCACTGGCCTCCACTCAGTGTCCTCCACCCCTCTCTGCCAATCCCTCCACTCCACTCAGTGTCCTCCATCCCTCTCTGCCAATCCCTCAGTGACCTCTCAGTGTCCTCCACCCCTCTCTTCCAATCCCTCCACTGGCCTCCACTCAGTGTCCTCCACCCCTCTCTGCCAATCCCTCCACTGGCCTCCACTCAGTGTCCTCCACCCCTCTCTGCCAATCCCTCCACTGGCCTCCACTCAGTGTCCTCCACCCCTCTCTGCCAATCCCTCCACTGGCTCCACTCAGTGTCCTCCACCCCTCTCTGCCAATCCCTCCACTGGCCTCCACTCAGTGTCCTCCATCCCTCTCTGCCAATCCCTCCACTGACCTTCTCTCAGTGTCCTCCACCCCTCTCTTCCAATCCCTCCACTGGCCTCCACTCAGTGTCCTCCACCCCTCTCTGCCAATCCCTCCACTGGCCTCCACTCAGTGTCCTCCACCCCACTCTCCCAATCCGTCCACTGGCCTCCACTCAGTGCCATTCAAACAAACGACAGTGCATTGCACCAACGCAAATGCGGTCCGTCATGATAAATGTGTGCAGCAAAGCACGCATTACCAATATGACCTGGTGTGACGGGGCCCTTTCCAGGTTGGTGGGCAAAACATTGAAATCGATGGGCTGCCGATACACCGAAACGTCCCAAAAATCACACGTGCCACAAAATTTCAAAGTGAACTGACGTGCATTGCAGCTGCTGGGGATAGGCATTGGGGCACCATTCAAAATGAATGTGAACGCAATGCAGGAATGCATAATAAATATGTGTTGTGACGCGTTGCGCGTTGAGGTTCCCCGCACATTCCCAAAAGACATAAATGGAAGTTTTTATGAAGTCGTGTTTTTTTTTTGTTTTCATTTTAGTTATTTATTTTTTTACATTTTTTTTTCAATGGTTGAAACAAACGGTTCTTTGGAGAGGAAAAGGAAAAGACACCAGGAAAACGAATTCTGAGTTTATGGTGGTTTTTCTCATATATCATTGCTTTTGAATTGCTTTTATTTGTTTTTTTTTATTTTCTATATGAAGAAAAGCTAAATATATAACAAGAAATACAACATTTTATTTTTTTTTTTTTCTCTTTCAGACGCGAAGTGACAATGACAATCAGAATCAAGAGGCAGCCATTTGCAGCTCCAAGACCGCCCTGGCCCTGAATATCACCTCACTAATTGTCGGCATCATTATGTACATCATTATTGCTGTGGTGTATTTTCAGCGCTATAGTTAAGCAATTTTTTTTATCTAGGGTGATGACTTTTATGTTGGACCCTCATCTATCTAATGATGGTAAACTGTTTTTTATTTTTAATAAATATGTATATCTTGATATTGTGGGAGAATTTAATGGTCCAAAAGACAATACAAGGTTCATTTTCCATTGCAACAGGCTTTACTCCATAAAAACGCAGCTATAGCGGCACGCTCAAACTCTGGAGTGGATGCCACGGCAATTCACTCAAACCCACGTCCGCTCAACTCTCTGTAGTCGCTCTGCCCCCTTACAGTAGTCATTCTCAGCTATGGGTTCTCCAGGATTTGTAGGGGTTCCTTAATCTGTGGATGATGGACCTCCTATCTGATGGTGTCTGCATAGCTTTGGAGCCAATGCTACTTGGGAAAACTAACAACATGAATATCTGTTTAGCTGTCTGTAAGGGGATGAATTATTTCCATTGACCACCAATGTAAGGGACATTCTTCCCACTGATCACCAATGTAAGAGGCATTCCTCCCACTGACCACCAATGTAAGGGACATTCTTCCTACTGATCACCAATGTAAGGGACATTCTTCCCACTGATCACCAATGTAAGGGACATTCTTCCCACTGACCCCCAATGTAAGGGACATTCTTCCCACTGATCACCAATGTAAGAGGCATTCCTCCTACTGACCCCCAATGTAAGGGACATTCTTCCCACTGACCCCCAATGTAAGGGACATTCTCCCCACTGACCCCCAATGTAAGGGACATTCTCCCCACTGACCCCCAATGTAAGGGACATTCTTCCCACTGACCCCCAATGTAAGGGACATTCTTCCCACAGATCACCAATGTAAGGGGCATTCTTCCCTCTGACCCCCAATGTAAGGGGCATTCCTCCCACTGACCCCCAATGTAAGGAGCATTCTTCCTACTGATAACCAATGTAAGGGGCATTCTTCCCACTGACCACCAATGTGAGGGACATTCTTCCCACTGACCACCAATGAGGGACCCCAACCCCCAATGTAAGGGACATTCTTCCCACTTACCACCAATGTAAGGGACATTCTTCCCACTGACCACCAATGTAAGGGACATTCTTCCCACTGACCACCAATGTAAGGGACATTCTTCCCACTGACCACCAATGTAAGGGACATTCTTCCTACTGACCCCCAATGTAAGGGACATTCTTCCCACTGGCCACCAATGTAAGGGAGATTCTTCCCACTGACCCCCAATGTAAGGACCATTCTTCCCACTGACCCCCAATGTAAGGGACATTCTTCCCACTGATCACCAATGTAAGGAGCATTCTTCCCACTGACCCCCAATGTAAGGGACATTCTTCCCACTGATCACCAATGTAAGGGGAATTCCTCTCACTAGCCAATGTAAGGAACTTTTCTCCCACTGACCCCCAATGTATGGAGCATCCTCTGCCCTGAGTCCCTGAAACCTGAAAATTATTTCCGGGGTTCCTCCAAAGGTCGATTCTGCCAGAACTCTAGTAAGCAGATAACATCTTCTTCGCTTTGCCAGTGTTGCACTGTTATCAGTTACGTTGTTCCTGGCTATCTCTGAGAACTACAGAATACTTCCACTCTATGTTCTGGAGAAGAGGGGAGCAGAAGGCACAGTCCTGCCCTAGGGTAACAATTCTGCTCCTTCATGCGTAAGTGAGCCTTGTCACCCTACAACATGAAGTGTGCTATTGGCAGGATCACCAGGTGAAAATAAAGGAAAAAGTATTACAAAAGAAAACGAATGCAGTCGCCACATCTAAGGATTGGTAAGCTGCAATATATAATATTTTTCCCTGGATTTACAGTACATATGCTTTAATGTGGTTGTTTTTTTTTTTTTCTATGGTGGATGGCCTTAGTTGATATCTTTGATATAGTGCAAAGTAAGATTTCGTTACTGTGAGTTCCAACCTTCCCCTGAAAGGTTTTAGTTACCTGAAATCTCTGCCAATAACTAAAATTTTGCCATTTTTGGCTACATTATTATTATTATTATACAGTATTTATATAGCGCCAAAAGGTTTGCTCAGCGCTGTACATTAAAGTGGGGGACAGTACATGAGACAATACAGTAACAATACAATACACAAGGGGTTCGGGGGCCCTGCTCTTTCGCGCTTACAATCTAGGAGGAGGGGGGGGTAGAGGCAGGGGCGGACTAACCATTTAGAAACTCGGGCACTGCCCGAGGGCCCGGGGTCAGTAGGGGGCCCCATGAGATGCCCCTGGTACCTTTTTCATTGGATTTTTTGAGTTTGGGCAAGGACACAGGGGCTCCATGAACCCCCATTGCCCGAGGGGCCCCATGAGTTGACAGTCCGCCCCTGGATAGAGGTACAGGAGGAAGTGGCTGTAGGGGATGGAGTGGTAGGAGGAGTGGAGGAGAACGGCTGTTAGGTGAGGGTGGGGTCAGGGGTGGACTGACAACTCATGGGGCCCCCAGGCAATAGGGGATCATGGGGCCCCTGTGTCCTTGCCCAAACCCAAAAAAGTCTATGAAAAAGGTACCAGGGGCATCTCATGGGGCCCCCTACTGACTCCAGCTGTCGGGCAGTGACCGAGTTTCCAAATGGTCAGTCTGCCCCTGGGTGGGGTAGGCTTCCCTGAAGAGATTGGTTTTCAGGGTGCGCCTGAAGGTGAGGAGGGTAGGTGACAGTCTGATGGATTGGAGTAGGGAGTTCCAGAGGATGGGGGAAGTCCTGGAGAAGTCCTGCAGTCGGGCATGGGAGGAGGAGATCAGGGAGCTAGAGAGTAGGAGGTCTTGTGAGGAACGAAGCATTGATTTAAATGCTACATGCATTTAAATCAATGGGGCAACATCAAGCAAAAGCAGTAATATAAAATAACTGTAAAGGATCACAGCAAAAAAATAGCAATCATATACACAAAACAGAAAAAAAAAAAAAATCACATAGAGGGCTTGTTTACAACACACGTGTTGGGCCTCAATTCAGGAGGCTAAAAGCCTCATGTCAAAAAACTAAAGTGCCAGTTGACGCCAAAAAAATTGACTTCTAAATAAAAAAAAATGTGGTTAGGTTAGACTCCTCCTGACCCCATTGCTTATAAATTCTAATAATATCTACCGTGTTTTTTTTTTCTCCAGTCTATGCATTCCATGAGATCAGCAAACCACAAGGTGATATTTTTGTCAAAATATGACATCCGTTATTTCACCCAGTGTATCTGTGTACAAATTGCGGTGACCACATATTTCTCCATTATCATGTTGTGTTTTCTTCTTTTCATTTTAGTATACTTTTCATTCAAGTATTCATCCCCTTGCCTTTTGGTTGATCTTGTGGCTTAAGGTGTTGCTGCTTGTTTATGTTGTACACTTCAAATCCACATTTATATGGTTGAGCTTGTGGCTGCTGTTTAAATTGTAGACTTCACCTTTGAGTCAAATCCCTTGTTGGGGTTGTGGCTTGAGGTGCTGCTGCTTGGGTATGTTATAGACTTTGGTTGAGATCTCCTTTTACGTGGTTGTTGTTTAAGTTGTAGACTTTAACTTTGGATCAAGTCCCCTCTTATATGATTGTTCTGGTGGCTGCTGTTTAGGTTGTAGGCTTGAACTTTGAGTCAAATCCCTCGTTGGGGTTGTGGCTTGAGGTGCTGCTGCTTGGGTATGTTGTAGACTTTGGTTGAGATCTCCTTTTACGTGGCTGTTGTTTAAGTTGTAGACTTTAACTTTGGATCAAGTCCCCTCTTATAGGATTGTTCTGGTGGCTGCTGTTTAGGTTGTAGGCTTCAACTTTGAGTCAAATCCCTCGTTGGCGTTGTGGCTTGAGGCGCTGTTGCTTGGGTAGGTTGTAGACTTTGGTTGAGATCTCCTTTTACGTGGCTGTTGTTTAAGTTGTAGACTTTAACTTTGGATCAAGTCCCCTCTTATATGATTGTTCTGGTAGCTGCTGTTTAGGTTGTAGGCTTCAATTTTGGTTCAAATCCCTTCTTGCTTGGATGAGCTTGTGGCTCAAGGTATGACTGCTTGGTTATATTGGAGATTTCAACTTTGGTTCAAATCCACGCTTATATGGTTGCATGTGTGGTTGTTGTTTAACTTTGTAGACTTTAATTTCTGATCAAATTCTGTCTTATACTGTATGGTTGTCCACGTGGCTGCTGTTTATCATTGTAGACTTCAACCTTGGTTCAAATCCATGCTGTTTGCTTATGTTGTAAATGTCACCTTTGGTCGAAATCCCCACATATACGATGGAGTGGGTGGCTGCTGTTTAACCTCCCTAGCGGTCTGATTATGTCCATATTTCTGTGCTCAAAGCAGTACATTTTTTTGCATGGAAATATGTACCGTATTTTTTGCTCCATAAGACGCACTTTTTTCCCCCCCCCCAAAAAAGGGGGGGAAATGTCAGTGCGTCTTATGGAGCGAATGTAAAGCAACCGGTCCGGTATTTCTGCCACCACCATGTCAGAATATCGGAGTTTGTGGCTCAATGTGTTGCTGCTTACTTATGTTGTAAATGTCACCTTTGGTTCAAATCCCCACATATATGATTGAGTGGGTGGCTGCTGTTTAAGTTGTAGACTTCAACTTTGGTTCAAACCCCGCTCTTCCTCAGGTGAGCTCGTGGCTCAAGTTGTTGCTGCTTGCTCAAGATTTGTGTTGTAGGCTACACTTTGGTTCAAATTCCTGCTTATATGTTAGAGCGTGTGGTTGTTGTTTAAGTTGTAGACTCTAATTTTGTTTTAAATCCTCTCCTATATGGTTGACCTTGTGGCTGCTGTTTAGGATGTAGACTTCAACTATGGTTCAAATCCCTTCACTTTCAGATGAGCTTGTGGCTCAATATGTTGCTGCTTGGTTACGTTGTAGATGTCACCATTGGTTGAAATACCCACATATATTATTGAGTGGGGGTGGCTGCTGTTTAAGTTGTAGACTTCAACTTTGGTTCAAAACCACTCTTACTTGGGTGAGCTTGTACCTCAAAGTGTTACTGTTACTCAAGAAGTTTAGGATGTAGACTTCAACTTTGGTTCAAATCCCTTCACTTTCAGGTGAGCTTGTGGCTCAAGGTGTTGCTTCTTGGTTATGTTGTAGACTGCAACTTTGGTTCAAATCCCTGCTTATATGATAGCATGTGTGGCTGCTGTTTAAAGTTGTAGACTTCAACTTTGGTTCAGATCCACTCTCTTTCAGATGAGCTTGTGGCTCAAAGTGTAGCTGCTTGGTTATGTTGTAGGTTTCATCTTTGGTTCAAATCCCCCCCATACATGATTGAGTGTGCGGCTGCTGTTTAAATTGTAGACTTCAACTTTGGTTCAAACCACTCAGGGTGTTGCTGCTTGGGCAAGATTTGTGTTGTAGGCTACACTTCGGTTTAAATCCCCCTTATAGGTTTGATAGTGTGGCTGCTGTTTAGGTTGTAGACTTCATTTTTGGTTCAAATCCCCTTTCTTTCAGATGAGTTTGTGGCTCAATGTGTCGCTGCTTGGTTGTGTTATAGATGTCATCTTCAGTTCAAATCCCCAAATATTTGGTTGAGTGTGTGGCTGCTGTTTTAGTTGTAGACTTCAGCTTTCGTTCAAAACCCCTTTTTTTTTTTGATGAGCTTGTGGCTCATGGTGATGCCGCTTGGCTAAGATTTGTGTTGTAGGCTACACTTTGGTTCAAATCCCTACTTATATCTTTGAGCATGTGGTTGTTGTTTAAGTTGTAGACTCTACTTTTGGTTCCAATCCTCTTATACGGTTGTCCTTGTGGATGCTGCTTATGTTGTAGACTTCAACTTTGGTTCAAAACCTCTTTTGTTTTGATGAGCTTGTGGCTCAAGGTGTTGCCGCTTTGATAAGATTTGTGTTGTAAGCTATACTTTGGTTCAAATCCCTACTAATATCTTTGAGGATGTGGTTGTTGTTTAAGTTGTAGACTCTACTTTTGGTTCAAATCCTCTTATATGGTTGTCCTTGCGGCTGCTGCTTATGTTGTAGACTTCAACTTTGGTTCAAAACCCCTTTTGTTTTGATGAGCTTGTGGCTCATGGTGTTGCCACTTGGCTAAGGTTTGTGTTGTAGGCTACACTTTGGTTCAAATCCCTACTAATATCTTTGAGGATGTGGTTGTTGTTTAAGTTGTAGACTCTACTTTTGGTTCAAATCCTCTTATTTGG